TCAAGAGCAAGATATATATATATATATATGCGCTGAGAAAACTAGTCAAATTAATGCCTCACACAATATAGTATTCCTAAGGTGGCTTTTCACTGTCTGGGAGTTTTCAAAATTTTTGCGAAATCGTAGTAGAACGTGAAAAGTAAATTATTAAATGAAAACCCACTTGATACCTTTTTGGCGCGGAGAGAAGGTTAGCTGCTAACGTCATAGATTAATTTCTAATCGAGTTTACAATTCTTAGAATATATAATTTCACAAAGTGTAGAAATGTATGATTATCTTGCAGATAGCTTAAACATGTTACAGCAAAAATTGACATATGCTTTAGAAGAAATGGATTCAATTATCTGTAACACGTATTTGGATTTGCAGTGACCTTTTGTGAACGCTTTAAGTATTGGACGCCCGTTAATGGCTAATAATAATAATAATATGCACAAGAGCCAAAACACACACAGGCAGGAAGCAATGTTCGTCCGCATATCACATCAAACAGGGTTGAAGTAAACGTTATTTCGTTCTCAGCATCTGCTGAACAGAAATACTTCATACCTAATTATTCACACCATTTTACACTGAAAACGACGCAACATGAGCGGTGTTCTAGGTTCCTTTCCATACCACACACACTTGGAAACAACGCAAAAGCGTCGGTTTGTCGGTGTCTTCACACAGTTCATGGATTCTTTGAAATCTCGTAAACGTTCGTGAGCGAACACAGTAGGAATTCTTCAAACTCAAGAGTTAAAAAACCCCTCTAGTATCAGCCTTGGATTCCATAGTTTATGTGAGCACAGTTTGTGTGAGAGTTCGTATGAACACAGTCTGTGAGAGCAGAGTTTGAGTTAGCACAGTTTATTGTCTTTTGCTCGTGCTCAGGGCTTGCCCCAAATGGAAAGCGGCTTCAGGTTGATCATCACGAACTCTGTATACGTTTCCGGACGTTTGATTTCAGTTTTACCGCTGCGCATGTCAAGAGCAGCATACGACTTGGAAGACGGGGAGAAGCGTGGAATACAATGTCAAGGTCAGAGCTGGTAAGCTGTACAGGAGAGGGCTGCTGAGCGGGGAGAGGGCGGAGTTACTGTCGTCATCGTTCTCCATTGGGTTGTCGTTGTACGGTCGCTGTATTGTAGGGCCCCTCTCACCTGTAGATGTAACCAAACAAATACACAACACTATAGCAAGTATGCTTACTAGTTCGCTTATCAAATTATTCTTTTCTTCAAGGTAAAAGTAAAGTATTGCCCCAACCAAATCATTTCGAACTGCTTGACCTTGTGCGAAACATCCAGGGTCACTATGGGGTTACAGTGGGGTTGTAGTCATGTCGCATACGAAGAGGACACCGTGGGCTGAGAGCGATGTGATTTTTTAAGACGTGTGTGTGTGTGGGGAAGGGGGAGGGTATACTTCAATTTTGCCTGCTCTTCTTCATCTTCAGGTTTAAAAAAATCTAATAGAAGAGGTTCCATTGTGTAAATAATATCTATGTGACTACGGTACAATTTTACAATTTACTTAAAGTTGAAAAAATCAAACCCCCCCCCCCCCCCCCCCCCGAAGACATCCATTACTTAAGGACGGCCAATCAAAAAAACAACAACAACAACGAAAAACATATTTTGATAATTTTGTTTTACCTCTGGTGGCCAGGGTAGCAGACACTTTCACATGTGTTTCATATTTTTCTGGTGGGTCATAGGCTACCCCTTGTACTCCATTTACGCCTCTCCCTAGAACCAGTATCACAGACGCAATAATGACCAGCGTTTGTGGTGTAGAAGTAAGACGCGACATCATCACTCGCAAGGGATATGCGTTCGATTCCCGACTGGGAAGGTTGTTTATCGAGTATCTCTGTCTGTCTGCCGAGACGTTATATCCATCTCAGTCCTGGGTTAGCCCGGTAGTGTTGAAGCAGCTTCCTCCTAAATAATCTAAAATGTGTTGACAGGGGAGCTAAGCATTTACAATTGCAATGTGCACAGATGGGGACGCCGCTACCAACGCTTATCAGGGCATGTCTTTTGTAAAACAAAGGAGTTTCCCTTCTTGCAGTATGCCATTTTGTATATACGTGTAGGTGTATTATGTCCCCATTAGAGAATTAAGATCATTCAGGGGGCGTGTTTCAACCCTGTTTGTAAGGGATGAAATCGTCTCAGCAGAAAGACCGAGATACTTGATAAAAATCCCCCTTACATGAGAATCAAACTCAATTTTAACACTACAGAAGGCTTGCGACAGTGAGGCAACTGGCCCCCTGAACAACAGATGCTAATGTATACAATTTTCGCTATTCTTCTTCTGGTATCAGGTCTGGAGCAGACATTGGGGATCATGGTACCCTAATCCTTTCTATTGTCAGTCTTCCCGATTAGCATTAATCTCTGCTATGGTATCTATATCTATTATTATATTTGGGAAAGTTCGTCTCTTTGGTCGCCTAAAACGTCCGAACCACTTAACTTTCGAATTTGGAAAAAAAAATAACGGTGGTTCAGAATCCTTTAAAAGGTGCTCAGTTACATTAAGGAGTCTGAAGTAGCTATAGTTTAATTTTCAGTTTTTCAATAGGTTTGTTTAGATCTAATCTTGGGAAAGTTCGTCTTCTAAGACGCCATTTTAAACAAGTGATACTTCCGTTCACAAGCAGTGCGCACTGTTTCACAAAGACTTGACGCTCTGTTCTTTTAAGTCCGGTCTTCGAACGGGTACCCAGTTAGTTAAGAAATACTTTAAACAGGAATTACACACCTGGTTTGCCTGTGTAGTTGTCGGTTTTGACGTCGATGAAGGACTGCTGGCCGCGGCCGGCCCGCGTGGTGGCCATGATGTGGAAGCGGTAGCGGTGGTTGGACTTGAGGCCTTCGATCCTCTCCTGGAACACCCTTGGGTTGTTGGAGCGTCGCAGCACGGGACGGACTGGGCCCAGGCGGTTACCCAAGACTGGGGGGGGGGGGGGGGGAGAAACGTGTTGGTGTTTAAGGGTTCAGAAATAATAAGTACAAAGGTAGAGCATAATATTATGAAGAAAAGTGTTGGTATTTAAGAGTTAAGTATACATAAGTACAAAGGCAGGATGTGCTAAGGAGAAAAGTGTTGGTATGAATAAGTACAAAGACAGGGTATACTATTCTGAAGACAAGTGTCGGCATTTAGGAATTAAGTATAAATAGGTGCAAAGTTAGGGTATATTATTAGGGATAAAAATATTGGTATTTAAGAGTTAAGCATAAAGTTAGATAAGTATAAAGGTAAGACCTCTGAAGGAGAAAAGTGTCAGTAAATAAAAGTACACTGCTAGGACAGGTGAAAAAAACAACAACAAAAAACAAACAAACCAACAAAGTCAGTATTTAGGAAGCAGGTCAACAACAGTTCCCATATGACATATTAAGGAAATGGGAATAAAGGCAGTATATAAAAGCTCAAAGGTTAAGTCGAAGATAAAAATGTCAGTAAGAGTGGATCTCGCAAAGTAAAAGGAGCGCCATGAAAGCCCATTAAACAATTTAAGTTCAGAAATACATCAAGACGGATTCAAACCAAGGTCAACCGCACTGTATTCCAGTTTGACATCAACTAAACTAACGGTAGCTGACGTCAGTATTTGAAAGAGAAACTTAAAAAAAATCATTTCTATTTATCTGTGATGAAAAGTTTATGTTGCAATGACACGCTTCCATTAAAGTATACGAGGAAAAATGCACAGATTGTAATCATTGACAACGTACAGAGGCATTGAAATTACGAGGAACTGGTAGATGGTAGCAAAAAGTTGCGTTTGATTTGTGATCGTTACTGACGATCGGAAAGATGAAGGTCACATTTGAACATTTTGATGAATAAAATAGTATGGGCTTCAGCGGTACTTGTTTATACCGGAACCTCACGAAAACAACCGAAACCTCCCAAAACCATCCGAAACCACGCAAAAACCACCCGAAACTACCCAAAACCTCCCGAAACCACCAGAAACCCCCTCAAAATTTCTATGATATGATGTTTTTTGCTATGCTATCTATAGCTCTGTGGTTAAAATATTCTGTCGGCTGGTTCTTGGTTCTTTTTATAAGAGAAAATGATGGTTTGTGAAATCTTTTTTTCAACTCCATGCTTTATTTTGTTTTAACTGATGAGCGACTGCTCAGGTTGCAATTAATAGCATGTACTTCTTAGAATTTTAATTAGTGTTGTAGTAGTATTCAAGTATAGATTTTCACATAATGTTATGAAGCGTTATTTAATTTCTATTATCTTGTGCATGTTGTGAAGTATTCTATGGAGAAGTGATCATGAAGTGACCCCTAAAATATTTTTGGGTGAAATTATAAAAAACTTGGGTTATCACTTGTTATATAATATATTTCCTGGATATATCCTGGACAAAAGTCCAGAAACGTAGTTAAGATTTTCTATATCCTAAAGTGGTGTTTGAAGGGATTTTAGAGCAGAGAGTAGAGAATTTTAAAAAGAAAATAATTGCCACTTTTTTCTCAAACGGCATGTTTTACACAGCTTATATGTTTCAGTTTTAGTAGGAAACGTTCATTCTGTTTCTATTGCGTTAATATTGTCAAGAAGTTGCCATGTTCGAGTTTAAAATATGTTTTTACGGTTTCTAATTGGAAAGAGAACTATTTTGGCTTTTTCTGACCTTTATCGGCCGTTTTGTTAAAATGCTATTTTCACACATTTTATCCCATTTTCTTGCTGTATCTTATTCGATTTTAATGTAACTTTCACAAAATGTTAACGACTCCTATTTCTAGAAACTGTCTTGAGGAATTTTTTATTGCACATGTAGCTTTTGATAAATGGCGTCAGAAAGTGATTTTTTCCCTTTTTTCAGTTATGCAATAAGCCGATTTTTTAAAGTCCCGTAGAATGAAAACTAAAGCATATACCACTAATTCCCCATGACAATTTTTAGATATGTACTTTTCTATGTACATGCCAAATAAAAAAAGTGTTTGAAATAAAAACAAATAAGTTAAACCAAGTGAAATATTGTCTCTTATATATAATGCTATTGTATTGTTTTTTAGTTTAAATAATTTTTTCAGGATCAAGAAGTATCCAAGTGGGTGGTTGGCGGGTGCTCTGGTGTGTTTTGCTCCTTCTTTCCTATCAAACATCTATCGTCCATATCTCCCGCCTCCTTCTTTTTTGTGTTTGTTGCTCTCTTGTAACACCTCTAATCTTCGGCACTTGTTTGACCAGATCGTGTTGCAAGTGCAGTAAAACACTTACTAAAACAAAAGAAGAATCCAAAAACGATAATACTGTATTACAGATCAATTTTTTTTCCACAGAGCGATAGATTGCATAGCAAAATAACATAACATCATATACATTTTGAGGAGGTTTCGGGTGGTTTTTGCGTGGTTTCGGGTGGTTTTGGGAGGTTTCGGTTGTTTTCGGGAGGTTCCGGTATAAACAAGTACCCTGGGCTTCAGCTTCTTTTCTTTCGTATAATTCATTTTTAAATTCCAAGAAGTGAAAAAAAAATTCAGCTCAGATAAATCTGCGTAGGAAATGGTGGATCTCTAACACTTTCAAGGTGGAACAACTTACAATCCCCCTCCACCAGTTAATAAAAATCCCAAATACCACACACATCTTTCTTTGTTTTTTTGTTTTTTGGTAAGTGTTTTACGGCTCTCGCAACTGCATAACGCCGTAAAACGCTTACACCCCCCCCCC